TGTGTCATAGAAAACAAAATGCTATACCATCAGAGATATCTCTTGAACCCAAGATGGGATAAAGTCCGACATAGTGGGAGCCACCTCTTTAATTTGTAGGGGCCACTAATTTCTATGGTGTTTATACTACTTTGATTTGAAGAATGAATGGCTTCTTACTAAATTCATAGCTGAAGTAAGTCCATGACATTGAAATTACACATTCCGTTTAATGTAATTTGTTTACATGCCCACGACATGTAAAACCAAAACTCTATATTTATAAACATAACACTCAAATTTTTAACATCATGAAACCTTAGGTGTAAGATATCTAAATACATAAAAAATTATGTGGTGTATATATCAAAATACATAAAGTGTATGAGCGTAAAATTCACATACTATTATTATTATTATTGCTATTTTAATTATTTTGCAAATTATCCTCTCAAGAAGCCATTATTTCCAAGTATTGCCGCCTTTATATTCTTGTGGTTCTTGTCATTTGCAATTTTTATTATTGTTTTGTTTCCACTTGACGCTTGGCAGGCATACTGCCGGGCTGAAATTTATCCTTTATGGTTGTGCTTAATCAGCAATCCCATCAAGAAAGCTGTAATTAGACTAAGCCAAGACTAGCCCGGTTCATATTTTAGACCTTGTATGCGCAAACGGATGACAATAATTGGATTTTATGGGGGTTTTATTATCCACTGGACAAATAGTATGGACGCTCGTTGACTGGTTAACTATTTAGACAGCAGTAATGATAAAATATTTTTAACTTTAGCATTATCCCTCTAACAATTTTCAATTTTTTTCAACTTTATTTATAAACCTTCAATATTAATTTGGCAGGATGACAATATATTTTCCACCTTTGATTTTGGAATATAACAATAAAACAAAAATATTCATTTATGCAGCAGTTTTATAATTTTGTTTTTAAATAACGAAAAATGGAATAATATCATGTATATTCAAATTAATACACATAAAGTGATATTGTAATAAAAAATCACTTTGAAATGGTTTATATTTTTTATCGAAAACGCATAAAAAATGACAATCATATTATTTGTTTTTGCAGAAAAGGTTTTTGAATAAAACGCATTTGTCAAATACCTGCTCTCGCGGTGGCGCATTTGTTAAAGCATGATCGCATGATTTTTTGTTAACTCTTATAATCGTCTTGTAATCAATATTGGACACGAGTTATAGGAATGGTTATATGATATGGACCTGTTATTCAATAATAATTCCTTATCTAAGTGGGTAAGAAAAAAATAATTTAAAAAATGCATCGTTAATATATGGCTCCCATTTGCCGGCACAACTTCTTGGTTCAGTGATCTGCCCGCTGAACGAGCAACAATACCCATCAAAGTCATGAAGGGAAAAAGAATTTTTACAGTTTGTTTTTTGTTTCCATGAACATAAATGATAAATTATATATATATA